ACTACAGTTTGACTGTTTGAGTAGATGTATGGCACCAAGATCTTTATTCTGAATAGTGCAATAAGGTAAATTTAATGTGAATTCATTTTATTTCGTTTTGGTAGCATAACAATATTTATAAGCGAACAAGATGCGCGCCAGGCACATGTAAATACATTTATACATGTATCTTGATTGAGATTTAGCTATGAATTTTGATTTACACAACAAATTTTTGCGGTTGAAATAAAGACCGTCAGAACTCAGAAGGCTATTAATATCGAGGATAACCGATATAAATGCAGTATACATAGGATATAAAGGTCAGCTTTTACAAATGAATGTTAATGTTTAATAGATTTTTATAATATTGATATATGTCTATTTGAGTAATATGACACTGTAGTGATTACTAGTCAAGTGATCAAAATTGACTCAACAAGGCTATTAGGCTACATAATTTACATTAACATTGGTTGAAGTCGGCAAAATCCTTGAGGGATATCGCGCCAACTACTATAAATTAAAAATCAGTACTAACTAAATATACACTAAAACTATTATAAAATCGTTCAATTAATTAATTTTTAAAATAAGCTGTTTTTAAAAATGTCAAAAGATTTAGCAGTAACAGTGTCAGCTGGTATACAAATAATGAATGTTTATGAGTGCAATGGTAAGAATATTTTCATGAGGTGAAAGATGGAATGTTCCATTCAACGAGGCGACCACCGAGTTGAATGGAACATTCCATCTTTCACCGAATGAAAATATTCTTACCATTGCACGAATAAAAACATTCATTATTTGTTTTATATAATACCAAAATAGACTAATATTAAAAGGTTTACTGTAAGATTTCGCCATTTTGACGAGTCGTATTTGCATTAAATCCCATTTACTGAGTTTCGAATATCGGGTTAAAATAAACTGCGATCACCGTACGAGAAGCATTTAGCATCCGTAACGCTACAGAAGCATTTTGACGGATGCGATTTATCGAAAACACAAAGAGTGCAATGGAACAAAACGTATAGTACAATTGCACTCGCAAGAGTGCAATGGAACGTATTCCATTGCACTCTTGGGAAATGGAATTTTCCATTCAATATCACGTGACCATAAACAGCCAATTAAACGATCAGAATTCAATAAGGTATTATATAATATAGTTTATTCCATTCACTTATTGTCCTTGTAAAAAATGAATATTTAAAAATGTTTATTCTTGCTTTGGGAATTCTGAACTTAAACTGGTGACTACCCCGTGTTCTTTTCTCATTATTTGGGATCAGATATTCTCCCCAATTGCCTTCTAGATAACCATGGCACATCTTATACATGGTGACAAGTCTTGCTCGTTTTCTCATAGTTTCCAAGGGCAGGGTTGTAATATAGCTAATTAATATGCTAATAACTAATCCAAATGGGAATAACTAATCAGTATTCAATATATAGTTCACAAACACTATACAGGGTGTATCAAAAAAAACTGAACAGATTTGAAATTGCTCTCAATTTCGCAAAACACCTATTTGTATCTGGTTTTTATATATATAGCTTCTTTGGGTACTTATAATGTAAAATAATGAAAAAAATTTCTCGAACTCAAATTTTGTGGACCAGGGGGGGTGTCTTTTCCAACAAATTAAAATGGCTCGCGCACAAAATTTAAAAGCTGTAATCATATTTTGAGTTAATAGATTGAAAATTTGTCGGGTTTTTAATTACTGTACAAAATTTCAGACAATTTGGTTTAGTTTAAGCCCTTTAACTATTCATTTTGTTCTAAAAAGTCAGCCTTTCGCATGCTTAATTAATGCCTTTACCTAATTTGCATATTGCTGACATATGCAAATTAGGCAAATGCATTAATTAAGCATGCAAATAGCTGATTTTTCGGGAAAATTGTAACTTTGCGTGAATAGTTAAGTGGCTTATACTAAACCAAATTGTCTGAAATTTTGTACAGTAATTAAAAACCCGACAAATTTTCCATCTGTTAACTCAAAATATGATTGCAGCTTTTAAATTTTGTGCGCGAGCCATTTTTAGTTTGTTGGAAAAGACACACCCCCCTGGTTCACAAAATTTGAGTTCGAGAAATTTTTCTCATTATTCTACATTATAAGTATCCAAAGAGGCTATGTATATAAAAAACCGGATACAAATAGCTGTTTTGCGAAATTGAGAGCAATTTTAAATCTGTTCAGTTTTTTTTGATACACCCTGTATACCACGCGTTTATCTCGTTTTATTAGACAGATTTAGAATAGACGACGCGACCTCAAAGACGACGTGGATGGCGTCATTTGGCGCCAACTATCGTCAGCTTCTGATTTGCCACGTCGTCTTGGACAATTTCACGACGCGAAAATTCAATTTTCACGTCCTCTCTAGAACGTCACAGATTTATGCTTCTTTTGAAAAAAATATGAGAGTATGCATGATAAAAATCATCCTATTTTGTTCCCCAAGTATTGTTTAATGATTTTAGTTAAAGGTTTTTCATTGACAAGGTTGTTTTTCTTGTCTTTGAGGTCGCGTCGTCTTTTCTAAATCTGTCTATTGAGTCTTAAACACGACATTCTGGCGACGAGGATACACAATTGGAGTTAGAAACACGTTTAGTCAATCTACAACGTCGAAACATCGAATTTCAAAGGGCAAATTCGTATAAAAACAAGATTTTCGTGTGAAACGAGTCAAATACAAGCCCAATTCGTGGAGAAACAAGAGTCAAGTCAAAATATCAACGCCATTAAGTCGGGCGCTCTCGAGAAACATAACCCCTCGCTTCGCGACATAAGAAAACCACAAAATCAACGTCAAGGCTCAAATTATCAAAGAAATTTCAACAAACCCCACACATCAACTGGCCGCAACTGTGGTGGTATCTACCCCCATGCCCGAGATTGTCCAGCCAAAGGAAAAGAATGCCATTCCTGTAAAAAACTGGCCATTTTGCAAAGGTATGCCGATCGACCCCTAAACACAAACCCCACGAACACCGGAACAGAGTCAACAACCTTTCTGAACAACCGAGCACTAGCCCTCATGATGTCGACCCTGATTACATTTTCACTTTGAAAAACAATTCGAACAACAAAACCCAACCCCCCAAATGCCAAGTGTTGGTTAAAGAGCACCTTATTGATGTCATTATTGATTCTGGAGCTTCGGTAAACATCATCGACGAGTCCACATACAAGCAGCTCAACCAAAGTAACACCCTACCTCTCAAGCAGCCTGAGTCCAACATCTTCCCATACGGTACAAGTGTCCAGATACCCATTCTTGGAATGGTCATGGTTACCATTCAGTTCCAGTCCACAACCGTGTTTGGGTGCCAATTTCTATGTTGCCAAGGGAACCGGTGGAAATCTCTTAGGTTGCCAAACAGCCGAACAGTTAGGAATTTTAAAGATAAGCATTAACACAGCAGTTAGATCTTACAACGCTCGCCTTGAAGATGAGTTCCCGAATTTGTTCAGTGGTATTGAGAAGATAAAGAACACCCAAGTCCAGTTACATATCGACACCTACGTTACACCCAAACAGCAAAAACATCGTCCTATTCCATTCCACATCCGAAAGGACGTTGAAAAGGAACTCCAGCGTTTAGAAGACCTTGATATCATTGAGCAAGTTGATGGTCCGACACCATGGGTCAGCCCAATCGTTGTGGTGCCCAAGAAAACTGGAGAGATCCGATTATGCGTGGACATGCGTGAAGCGAATAAAGCAGTGCAAAGAGAAAAACACCCCATGCCAACTGTTGACAAGTTAATTACAGACCTCAATGGTGCCACAGTGTTTAGCACCCTAGATCTTGCCTCAGGTTACCACCAACTGGAGTTACATCCTGAATCCTGCCATATCACAACCTTTACCACTCACGTTGGACTTCGACGTTACAAGCGACTAATGTTCGGCATTAACGCAGCCTCGGAGATATTTCAGATGAAATTGCAAACCTACTGGCTGGATTACCTGGTTGTAAGAATATTTCGGACGACATCATCGTCTATGGTCGAGATGACAAAGAACATGATGAGAACTTACGAGGCGTGTTAAACCGCTTACAAGACAACAATGCCAAATTAAACGGTGAGAAATGTTCCTTCCGTCTGCACCAAGTAGTATTCTTTGGGCACACATTCAGCGCAAGTGGAGTTCAGGCAGACCCAAAGAAGATCGACGTCATCCGGAATATGCAACCTCCAAGAAATGTCAGCGAAGTCAAGTCCCTTCTCGGAATGACCCAGTACGTATCTCGGTTTATTCCCAACTATGCCTCCATCACAACACCCTTGCGTACCCTGACCCACCAGAACGCCAAATGGCAATGGCAAGCGGAACAAGAGAATGCCCTGAAAAAACTTCAACACGAGCTTATGAATGATCCTGTTATGGCTTACTTCGACCCTTCGAAAACCAACCACCGTCATTGTTGATGCCAGCCCCTCGGGTTTAGGAGCACTGATGACTAAAAAAGGCAGAGTTATCAGTTATGCAAGTCGTGCACTTTCCAGTCTAGAATCCCGTTATTCACAAACTGAACGAGAGATGTTAGCCGTTATATGGGCTATCGAACACTATCATCTTTACCTCTACGGTGCTAAGTTTACTATCATCACCGACCACAAGCCGCTACTCGGAATCTTCAAAAGTCAGAAACCGACTTCAGCGAGAATCGACCGCTGGAAACTAAGACTGATGCCATATGATTACGAAGTTGTTTACAACCAGGGAAAGGTGCAGAAAACCCTGCTGACTTTCTCAGTCGTCACCCCAACCCTGTTGCTTCTTCGCCCACCGACAACACCACCGAAGCCTATATCAACTATTTGAATTGTGCATCAACCTCATCCCCAAAGCTATGAAACTGGACGAAGTGAAGAAAGAAACTGCTAACGACCCAGTCCTTTGCAAGCTTTCTGAAGCAATCACACACAACCGATGGCTCGATCCTGAAGTGAAACCGTTCGTTAACGTAAAGGACGAACTGTCTGTCTGCAATGGATTAATCGTCAGAAACCACCGCCTGGTGCTACCTCATTCACTGCAGAGCCAAGCCATAGATCTTGCACACGTAGGCCACCAAGGCATAGTCAAAACGAAAATGCTACTTCTTGAAAAGGTCTGCATGGTTCCCCTCCATAGATAAGATGGTGGAACAGAAAGTCAAGACGTGCCTGCCGTGCCAAGCAGCAACCACAGGTACCCATCGACATCCAGAACCCTTGTCATGACACCGCTGCCCGACGCACCATGGCTGTCGATTTTGTTGGTCCGTTACCATCAGGCGAGCTGCTACTCGTTGTCATCTACGAATTTAGCCGATTCCCCGAAATAGAAATTGTCACCACTACGAGCGCAAAAGCTGTCATCCCAAAAGCTGGATAACATATTTTCCCGCCAAGGTGTCCCTGTTGTTCTTAAAAGTGATAATGGCCCGCCATTTAACAGCTCGGAATTTGAACAATTTGGCAGTTACCTTGGTTTCGAACATCGCAAAGTCATTCCGTATTGGCCAAAGGCGAATGGAGTGGAACGGTTTATGCGCACCATTGAAAAAGCCATACGTACAGCACACATCGAGAAGAAGAATCGGAAACAAGTATCAATTTCTCCGCCAGTACAGACCGCACAGCACGACGAATGTGTCACCATCCGAGGCCCTGAACAATCGAAAGTTGAAGATACCACTTCCGAGTGTTCAAAAAACTCAGCAACAAGAAACCCAAGATCCAATGCGAAAACGAGATCAAGAAAAGAAAGAGAAGATGAAGAAATACTCAGATCATCGACAACACTCGAAAACAACTGATCTGAAGATAGGAGACACAGTCCTGATCCGCCAACCAAAGAAGAACAAGCTTACCCCACCGCTTAACCCCAAACCATTTACTGTTGAAGCTCGGAAAGGAACTATGGTTACCGTCAAACGTGGTTCGAAGAAGATAACACGCAACATATCCTTCTTCAAAAAGATTGATAATCGTGTAACGGATAGTTCCGATGACGAAGATGATGACGACGATTTTGATTGCGACCGAACCGACGAAGACCAAAACAATCAAGAACCTGTTCATTTACGAAGATCCAAGCGAGAAAGAAGACAACCAAATAGACTTGGATTTGAACATTGAACTATCAATGACTATAGACACATATTGCATGTTAACAGTTGAAATTTGTTTCAGTTTAAATTCCTATTGTCGTTTCGGGCAGAGGAGATATTTTGAATAACATATAACGTGAAGAACAGAGAACCTATACTAATGTGCGGAGGGATGTAATATAGCTAATTAATATGCTAATAACTAATCCAAATGAGAATAACTAATCAGTATTCAATATATATCAATTTTTTGTTAAAGCTGCTCTCAGAGTGCTGCAAATAGCGTTTCTGAGGTTCAAAAATAAAACATAGTAGTAGCGGGGCGGGCGTATAATCATAATATGCTGATGTTATGTATAATCATATAAGCGTATTCAGTGCATTATTTTCATAAGGCCATGTAAAAAAATATCCCGGTTTATCATCAGCGCCCACATCCTTTTTTCGTGCCACATGGATTTATTTTTTATTTTTAAAAAATAACTATTTCCAGCGGAGCGTGCGAGGAACCACGCGAGATTCTCACGATGGTCGGCAATTTTGAAAACACGAGTTCATATTGACAACGTGTATGATATTGCACTTGGGCCTGGGCAATTGTAATATTAATTAATGTGTAATAGCATTAAAAATATTATACCATACAATTGTGCTGCGTGTTTGAGCATTTTTTTTCCATGCGCCTACTAAATGTGATGCGGTAAAAACATTTTTAAAAATCCGCTCGCCCGCACGAGCTTATTCTGCTGCCACTGATGATAAACCGGGATATATTTTTACATTGGCCTAAATTACCTTTTTTATTAATTTAATGTCTCAATACAGTTTTAAAAAAATGGAAAATTCACGATTTAGATGCGTATTTTTGGACAATTATTACTTGTTGATAAACAAAAAGTACCTTACTTATATAAAACAACATCTAAAGAGTTTGAATTTTTGCATAAAAGTTACGCAACTGCCGTTGCTATGGCAACAATGACGTTTTAAGATGACGGATATTTTGGATTTAAAACTCATATAGATCCGTGTTACTTGATTTCCGAAGTATATGACGGGAAGATTAAATATCACAGAACTCCGCGAATATTTGCAGTAGAAATACGAAAATACCACCAACAAAATCCGCTTGCAAAATTCTATGTAATCGAACAATGTAAAATAACCATAAATTATAAACTAGCCATACTCGAACAATGTAAACTAACCATACCATACTATATATAATATACTCGAAGAATGTAAACTATGCATCACTAAGCCATACCTTTCGCCGAATATAACTTCGGCCCCTTTCAACGTATCTTTTTGGTATTAGTCTTATTCGAAACACAATCCAACACACTACTTACAGTGTTATTTTCAAGCTTGTATCTGCAGATTCGCATGTTTTATTTCGGTATTTCAAAATATATAAATTTTATGCACCTATCAATGTTTTCCCCCCTGAGAGGGGGGTGGGGGGAGTGCGGGCAACCGGCCCAGGGGAATTTTGACATTTTTAAAATTTTGTAGTCAAAATCCCCACTGTTGGGCAAGGAACGGCTGTCAAAATTCCCCACTATATTCCTAAGATAACAAGGCACACATATGTTTTCCAATGCGAACATACAGTCTATACTGGTTTAAACTTGGTAAAAATTGAGACACTGTGTATAAAATACCTTTTCCGATGAAACTTGATTTTGCTTCTCCGCCATACTTGTTACCAGGCAAAACCGCGCAAACTTTCACGATGGCGGATGTCAAAATTTCCCGACTCTGGGAGTTGATGCCTAGGTCAAGTTCCCCTCACTGGAGCTTTATAGTGTGTTCAAAGTCCCCTGGGTCGCTCGCACCCTCCCCTCCCCCTCGGGGAAAACAATGATAGGCGCATTGCGCGAGAGCTTTGACCGGAACTTCAAGTTCAAATATCCGAAACAATGCGATGTTTACATCCCATCATTCTGGAAACGTCAGAAATCGATTCTAAAGGTCAAAGTACCCCTGTAGCGTGATTTTCACGTTCATGGGAGCTACGGGTGCTCCTTAATTATTGGCCAATTTTAGCGTGTGGCACGATGATTTTGATGAAAACCCGATATTTTAAAAAAATTCGAAATAAATATTTCTACTTGTCGTGTTCAAACGAAACTTTCTATTGACTTGGGCGAATGACTTGGGCGAATGCTGACTTGTGCGAATACTGACTTAGGCGAATGCTGAAGAGTTTAGACGATATTCAAGTTTTTCTCGATATGAACTACAAAATGTTTAGTCAAGCGGTGAGTAAATATACGATTGTTTTGGTTTTGCATGTGTGTAATGTTATGACAGCATTTGACCCCCCGTTCGAAGGATTATTTTATGAGGATTTCAACGGTGGTTTTCGTTTTAAAGGGGGGTAAATACTTGCCGAGATATTTTAAATTTTCTCCTCTCCGAAAAAGATAAAAAGATAAAAACATAAACAAAATAGAAAAATATTGAAAATTTCCGAAAAGCAAAGTCACGGAATTCAGACATTGTGTATATAATAAAACAGTTATTCCACGCACTCTCGCCAAATACAAGCGATAGTCAGCTCATATTCGACTTGAGTTCGCAGAATAACTGTTCATTATTTCGTGTCAAACGAACACAAGAACTTGATTAATATTAGCTAGATAAATAGATAAATATACTAAAGACATTGGTAACATAATGCTTTCTAGATCGTAAATTTTGATAACATGTAATCTAGTGCATATAATGGCCATAAAATAAAGTATGAATTTTAGCGAATAATAAGAATTTCTAATAACTCTTAAGCACAAAAATATGGAAAACATTCTGATACAATGACGGTGGTTGCTCAAAGCTCGTTAGCACTAACGGTCCTGGGTTAAAAACTGTTTGGTTCATGACCAAATTGTCGGGCTGGCTTCGCCATTGGTTCGTGTGTGTGTACCAAGGGTCCTTTAATTTATTTTGGCACCTGACTTCCAACGATTTATATTATTATACACAATATATATACATGCAGCCAAACAAACACAATACACTTCCGGTTTCAAAAGTATCAGAATTTCTGATACTTTGGACTATCAGTCTCTGCAGTTTTAAGCTAGTATATTTCACATATAGAGGATTTCAAAGGTATCAGAATTTCTGATACTTTGGACTGCCAGTCTCTGCAGTTTTAATGATATTTGAGGTATAGAGGATTTCAAAGGTATCAGAATTTCTGATACCTTGGACTGCCAGTGTCTGCAGTTTTAATGATATTTGAGGTATAGAGGATTTCAAAGGTATCAGAATTTCTGATACTTTGGACTGCCAGTCTCTGCAGTTTTAATGATATTTGAGGTATAGAGGATTTCAAAAGTATCAGAATTTCTGATACTTTAGACTGCGAGTCTCTGCAGTGTTAATGATATTTGAGGTATAGAGGATTTCAAAGGTATCAGAATTTCTGATACTTTGGACTACCAGTCTCTGCAGTTTTAACGATATTTGAGGTATAGAGGATTTCAAAGGTATCAGAATTTCTGATACTTTCGACTATCAGTCTCTGCAGTTTTAAGTATATTTGAGATATAGGGGATTTCAAAGGTATCAGAATTTCTGATACTTTGGACTGCCAGTCTCTGCAGTTTTAATGATATTTGAGGTATAGAGGATTTCAAAGGTATCAGAATTTCTGATACCTTGGACGTCTAGTTTTGGCGATGTCTGCTTAAGTGTGTTTAAACTATATAGAAAATATTGTATGATACTTTTGTATATTTCCAACCCAATGGAGTGTTGCAAATTTCGTTATTGATCCAAGGTGTTTTTGAAATGGTAAGATATTGTCGCATGCATTGCAAATATTACTATTTTTTACAGAGGCGGTATTTTTATCTGCAAAATTCGACTCTTTTGATTAAAAGGTTTTTGGTGTCAGCAAAATTTTGTAAATAAGGCTGTTTTTGTCGAAAAAATATTATTTTGGAAAATGCAAAGATAGTTTGGAACGCGTTCTATACAGCGTTATACAAGACTATACGACACTATACAAGAGTATACAACACTATACAACACTACACAATAATATACAAGGCTATATGCGACACTATAACAACACTATATAACGTTATACAAGACTATACAACACTATCTAAGGCTATACGAGACTATACGACACGTATACAGCGTTATACAAGACTATACGACACTATACAACAGTATACAACACTATACGACACTACACAATAATATACAAGGCTACACGACACTATATACAACACTATATGACGTTATACAAGACTATATAACAATATATAAAGGCTATACGACACTATACAACACTGTACAACACTATACAACGTTATACAAGACTATGCAACAATATATAAGGTTATACGACACTATATACAACACTATCTGAACGTTATACAAGACTATAGATATGACACTATGCAAGACTATACTACACTATACTATACTACACTATAGACGACTATTATATACAAGACTAAACAAGACTATACAACGTTATACAAGATTATACGACACTATACAACACTATACGTCATTTCGATGTTTTCCTTCGTGGTTGAGTTAATAGTTAGGCTATATACCCTGTGCCTGTGAGCAGAGCCTTAATATCAAGTCTTCAATCATTTTCACGTTTTTCTTCGTAAATCATATAAACAACATTTGCCAACATTGAACATACCTGCATCATTCTGTCATGATATTTAAACGGTCAATATAAACTTATTACTAATAAGTAAATATTGTCAACACCGTATACTAATAATTGGCTAAAACGTAGCTGCAAAGAATAATTTTCTAACGAAATTATTGTCTTTTATTTGTGAAGAAATTATCGTTTTTGACTCACGGATGTTGCAAAGCAACATCTGTGAGTCTTTGTGGTTACTTGAATGTGGGGCAGTTAAACAATGAGAAATGACCAGCCTGCTTTGCGCGCACTCTTTGCCTGCGAATCGGGCCTTTCAGAACCAGAAATGGGGCTGGAGCACGACAAATGGTAAAATTTACACGGTGCTCGTTTGCAAAAACAACTGGAAACTGCTTTATTTCTTTCTGTCACTTTCATTTGATCTCATCCGTGAGTCGGCCTCAACGGCCTTTGATTTATATTTTTCATCATGGCGGAAAGTACAGAGCGAGAGCTTTACGGCGACTTACGAGCAATTACGGACTGACAGAAATCCAAATTTCTTCTATATTTTGATTCAAGCTGCATCGTTATAACTCGGTCAAGGAAACTGGCACGAGTCATGACGTCAAAATCAGTTGTCGAGATTAGTGTGCTGCCTACGGCAGCAATTATATGGACAATGGTGTTTTACTGGAAACAAAAACACTCGTAGAACTCATACGTCACTACATTCGGGTCCAGGTGCGCGTATTTTCCGTATTTCATCCGCCTGCGAGTGACATACGAAGTTGGAAAATCTCCCGCCATTTTCATTGTTGTTGTTTTGAAAATACAAAGGATCTTTGGTTCGTATTTAAAACGAAACTAACGTTGGAAATAAAACGAAAACATTTAAAAGACACCATTTACATATCGTCTTTGTGTGTATTTTTTTCACTCTGAGTAAGTCCATATAATAAACAGAACATTAAACGGTTGCGAGAAGATATGGATTTATGTTCTCGTGTAAAAAATAATATCTGTTTTTGCCACTCCAAGTGGCACCCACTCGAACATAAAATCCATATCTCTTCGCAACCGTCTAATATCCTCTATATATTTTCTCAAAAGTAGTATAATTTCAACTTTTATTCTTACTTGTTTGATACATAATTTTTTTTTAAAAAAAGCCGTTCATTTTTTAGTCAACTTTCATTACTCCTATACGATAGCCAGTAGCAAAAAAACGTTTAGGCAATTTTCCCGCGTTTATGCCCGTTTCCTAGGATATGGGAGCCTGATTGCGAATTATGCACAAGTTGTTTTGTTGACAACTATATATTGCGGGTGCTCTAAGCCTCTAATACAAATTGTTTATTTTCCTTGTTTACTGGTCATTTTTGTTTTGTTATGGTATTATAATATGGGACTAGCTAACAATCGTGGGTCAGGGGCAAAATGTTGTGGGTCGTGGGTAAAATGTCATGGGTAAAATGTCGTGGGTAAAAGGTCGTGGATCCCGAGTATGTCGTAAAAAGTCCTGGATCACCCTGTTGGCAGTGTTGCCTAGCTTCTTAAGCCTCCGCTCCCCCAACTCAATATGGAGCTTGTGTCATGGTATCTTACCAAAAGTTGTTACGGCGTTGTTTACAACATTGAACTGGTGGTGTGAGACAAAGTTTGTTTTGTCAATGATCAATCAATGACTGTATAATATAATAATATTGGCTGCATGGAATGGTCTCAAGGGTTTTGTCCAAGATTGTAGTTCCATGCATTGTAATACTGTATGTTAAAATATTTCCGTGAATATCCTTGCACTATTCACCAACATGGCCGAGGTGAATAATTGAAAAGTAATGCGGCTTTCCAGGCTTCCAGCCGTACGTGCTTTTAACATTGAGTACATGCATGAGCTACGATTGAAATTAAAGAAGGCGGGTATAAGTGGGAGTGTAAGTGGGAGTGTAATGGCAGGTGTGAGTGGGTGTGTGCTAGTCATCCTTACTTTCAGCTGACAGCTAACCTGAATTGCAAAGGATGCAGCTCAATCTGACGGAGTCGAAGGTTTTCTAAGGCCGCTTCTGGCAACCATCTTTTGACTCGACATGTCTGATCACGGCCAGGGCAGTAACCATGACAGGGCCAGTTACATAGGAGGGGCTAATCGCAACAACCCGCCATGTCAACATTCCTGTGGAAGAAAACCGGAACACGCGGAGAAAACCTACCACTTTCGATGAAGCGTTGACTGAGTCTTTTAACATAATTAGTGTCATGCATGAGTCGGTAGTGAAAATGGAACCCACGATCTTAGCCTGAAAACAGACCTACGTTTCGCCCGCCCTAAAATTGGCGGGTCGACGGAAAGGGCGAAACGTAGGTTTGATGAAAATGTTGTCAAAACGCTGTGGAATCCGACCGTCTGGTGGTCGGAATAGCTGATTGGCTACTTCACAGGGAAATGGGTTGTGATTGGTTGGTCGCTAACATGAAAAGATTTGAAAAGATCAGAATATATTTCAACGGTATTCTCAACGTATATTATATATAATATGCATATAGTGTAATAGCCTATTCTAAATATTTTGTGAAGCTGAACGACAACTAGTCTAACAGTATCTACCGTCTAAAATTAAAACTAGAAGGGAGTAGAGCAGTACGTGTCAAATACTTCAGCGTTGTGTCTTTCCGTTGTAATATACAATACAATAATTTTTACACTATCTACGTAGCCCGCGTGCAGGCCCAAGGGAAGAATAGTGGGCCTGCAAGCAAGGCCCGGTATTTTGTACTTTCCGCGTTCGCCCACGAACGCGGCATTCTGATTGGCTGTTTGCTGTTGGATTCTATAATTAGATCACTGATTCATCACAAAGGCTCTCGACAAGCTTAAAATTCGAAAATTGATCACTGTTTTCGATTAAATATGGAACAAGAACAGACTGTTTATTGTTTACTTGAAGAAAGAGATGTTTTTTGCCGTTATGCCAATGGGGATTGCTTGTCGTGAAGTGTTGGAATAGCAACATTACGACTGGGGTAAACTATAATAGTAACCTTTACTTGAGTTTCATTAATTTCAAACAGACTTGATACGTTATATGTTCCTCATGAAAATTATCTTTTGGTTGGCTTGTGCGTTAATGATTTACGTTTCGATATAAACATAGCACGTATATATAGGCCGATATTACATGGTTGCGAAGAGATATGGATTTTATGTTCGAGTGGCAAAAACAATATCTCACGAGTGAGCGCAGCGAACGAGTGAGATGTTTTTGACACGAGAACATAAATCCATATCTTCTCGCATCCGTTTAATGTTCTGTTTATTATATGGACTTACTCAGAGTGACAAAAATACACACAAAGATGACATGTAAATAAAAGCACGCGAAAGACCAGTATAAAAGCGATATTTTTAAAAATTATAGTGCAAACATAAAACTAGAATAAATTTTACTTATCTCAAGATGTCTTTTAAATGTTTTCGTTTTATTTCCAATGTTAATTTCGTTTTAACTCTTTCTGATCAGGTCCCTATAGACGTAGAACGTGCACGGTCTACGGATGTTTCGTTAATATCTTCGGTTCAGTAAACGCTATGTAGATGAAAATACCACCATTCGATTTAAATACGAACCAAAGACTATTTGTATTTTCAAAACAACAACAATGAAAATGGCGGGAAATTTTCGAACTTCGTATGTCACTAGCAGTCTAGCAGGGGTGAAATACGGAAAATACGCACATCTGGCCCCGGATGTAGTGACGTATGAGTTCTACGAGTGTTTTAGTTTCCAGTAAAACACCATTGTCAATATAATAAAATATATTTTATTTAAATTTTAGCATTATATGGCGGTTTCAAAATGTATAAATTGTAAGAGTTTGGATGCAATTCAACAATGGGACATGGCTTGTCCCGGCCCGCCCATTGCCAAATTTGCGTAGGCAGATTTTATTGCATTTATAGAATGTGTTGGAAATGTTGTATTATTACTAGCTGTAACTGTTTGCTTGCAAGGGTTAAGAGTACATAAAAGCAATATACTGCCTGGGGTTACGAATATTTTTAATATTTATTCAAACATCTGTACTTATCGACTCTTACTTTGTTTACAAACTTTCAATAAAGTGAATCGACAACTTTTATTGCATTTTTAGGTGTTTACATGTAAAGCCTGGTTCACACGATGAAATAAGCATAAGCACAAGCAGCGGAACCTTTGATGTGCATAAACGTAAGCATAAGAAGAACAAATGTTGCGTTCTTCTTATGCTTACGTTTATGCACATCAAAGGTTCCGCTGCTTGTGCTTATGCTTATTTCATCGTGTGAACCAGGCTTAAATGTGTCAATCATCATCGTTAATTATTGCAAAATGCAAAGTGGGCGGAAGGCGATTTTGACAACATTTTCATCAGACCTACGTTTCGCCCTTTCCGTCGACCCACTGAAAGGCGCTTGTTCTTAGCCCTATGATATGTCTTGAAATATGGCAGAGGTTGCTATATTTATGTAGTTGCGGTTCCGTCCTAATGACTAATCCAAACTTATTTGAAAGTATTGGAATTATATTCAATTAAAGCGATGGACCTGCGAACACTGTAGATGATGCAACTATACCTAAAAATACAAAAAGAGTTCGACATTTCGAGGAAAGACCTTTCGACATCTTTTTGTATTTTTCAAGTAGTTACATCTTCTACAGAGTTCACAGCATTTAAGAATTGTACAATACAACTCTCTCATCGTGCACAAAGGAGCAAAAATAAACGAACCTATGCAGTGACGTCACCGTGTTGAACAAAGTCCACTGCAATGTAAAACTATGCGATATTGTTCTTGTCTGATATAAATAATCTTGATCATAAATAATAAAAACTCGCTTTAGCTGCTTTACATATGTTCTATTTCCCTTAACAATTATAAAATGAATTAGAAGGGATACATCTATATATAGTATATAAATAGGCATTAATAGGTAATTAGCTACATGCTCAGTTATATAGCTACCTGTTTTCCAACACTAGCTAGGGAAGCCTCACATATCGATTTTGTCCACGAGAAACGTCATATGTTCGTTTCTCTGGAGACCCCCCCTCCCACCCCCCTTAGAAACGTCACACATTTTATCGATATTTTGTTCTTATAGTACACATGAATAAGGTAATTTTCTATATACATTTTTTCGGTCGGCTATTGGCGATGCTTCCGCGAGGAATATGACATACTCTTTTTTTATTATAAATATGAACTTCAAAATTTCCAACGTTTCTCAAAACAACTTTTTTGCATGAAATTGAAATATTGATAATTTTAGCGCGTTTTTCTTGAAATTTGAGTGTTTTCAATGCAAGGAAGGCGTAATAATATAAATGTATAGGTATAGAACAGGTATGGTATTACGAATATATAGACTGCTGTTTGTATCAAATTATTTTCTTTTTTATATTCTGCAAAGATAAAAACTATCGAATTTTTCCATGATGTTTACAGAGAAACGTCACAGCTGCCAACCCCCCCACCCCCAAACGAACATATGACGTTTCTCGTGGAAAAAATCGATATGTGAGGCTTCCCCTATACCGCGGTGTATCTATGGATCATGAAAACAATATTGGACTGAATTCGACATTTCCTTATAAAAAGTCACAAGACACAACAGTCATACACTTAAAACCTGCATAAAAACCGTTATCCGCTAAATCTATAGCACAACTGCTATTATATTACAAACTGTTAGAAATATAGAACGTCTATGTATGAAATGTATTTGTTATAGAACAAGCATTAAGCTATTATGAAGCGCTAGCCTAGTCAATTCCCAATATATTACAAATCTTACTTTATCTTCGTAGCAGACGTATGCATAACCATCTATAGGCAATCTTTAATAACAGCCTCCGTCTAAAAACCTTTCTATCAGTTCTCGATGGCACAGAAGTTATATACACAGTGAACGATAGCCAATAGGAAGTGTGCCATAATATATTTACAAAAGCTCTCATGTACGTTCTTCAAATACAATGCTCCAAAATAAGTCTAGTTCGTTCTAAGGTGCTGCATGTCGAAACATTGACTCGTTGATTTGTATTCAGTTCCATAAGGTGCTGTCCAAAAATTAATTCGTTGATTCCACTCAGTAAACCATCGGATAATATAAATGTATAGACGAACTGGTGAGCCCCGATGACTTTTGTATGCTTTCTTCTTTCGCTTTGGATACTCTAAAAAACGAGTAGGCGCTTGAAGCGGCCATTCCGAGAACAACTGAAACGGTGATAATAGCAATAGTGATAACCATCTTAGAGCTACTGTGAACTTGATTTCTTCGACAAAATCGTATTATTAGTTATAGGCCTTATTTCACTTGATGTCACGTTTGCGATATAAGTTGAAAGTGTGATGCTATCCAACCGAATCGGGATAAACACCATGTGATTTGAAGGCTCTTGAATATGCAAAACGTTCAAGAAGGATATACTTTTGCAGGATTGATAAAATTTAAGTTACAGTTATTTATAATTACTTGTTCATGATCAAGTTACGTTTCTTTACACACATAACAAAATATAGGTGGTACAAAACTACATCGAACGATCATTGGAATGAGCACGTTACATTTAATATGTAATAAGATGAGATATGCATTAACTCCAGGAGAGAGATTTAATTAATGCCGGCAGAAATCAATAATAATAATAATAATAATATCTGGGCCGGATGAAGAGTGACAGTTATACCAACGGTGATTGGTTGTTTAGGAGGAGGTAATATTGTGAAGAAAGAACATTTGCAGCGCGGTCGAGAATAGAATAGCGCGAGGTTTCAATTCGAGACCTGAATCATCTGATGGAAGATCTAATCAAGAAGAAACGAGTGAGAGGACGCCACAGATTGTCAGCAAAAAAACATGAAATACTTCAAAGTGCGAGCCCAGACAACGACATACTATCGTTGCGGCAGAGCCAGACAAACTTGAAAGAAAAAATCAAGACGATAAGACAATTTGACGAACAAAAAACAAAATAATCAGCGCAAGAAAGAGGAAAACGTCAATGAACTTATAACGCACGAAATTGATGAATCAAACAACGTGATAGCGGAACTGGAAAGAGTATTACTCGAGCTCGAAGATGAATTATGTAAATTGAGACAAAGCGTGCACGTCGATGTCGACAAAGCAGGACGCCGCGGATGCAAGCCTTAATCAAAGTCATTTGTCAACCTCCAGCGATATGTCACTAGGTAAAATCGTTCGAGCTAAGCTCCCGAAACTTGAACTCGGAAAGTTTAACGGGAAGATTTGCGAATGGCAGGAGTTTGGGGACGGCTTTTCAAGTTCAATCGATAACAATGAGCAATTGTTTGATGTCTGATGTTTGACTTTGCTGGTTCTTCCAATAGACCGCGTAAATATGCAAATTTGTCTAAGTATAAATAAATTTGCATATTTACGCGATCTATTGGAAGAACCAGCAAAGTCTACAATTGCTGGGTGTTCTCTGATGGAAGCAAATTACAAGTCAGCAGTAGAACTCTTAAAGACACCTCGTTCCCAGGCTCTTCCCTCTTGAGGAGGAACGACCCTGGCAATAGCTGGCCACGTGGCTCTCAGATTCCGGTGCTAAATTGAAATTGTACTTAGGGAGGGGTGGTAGAGTAGTGCGCTTGTTGCGCTTGGAAAATTACAACTTGTGTGTTATAGTTTCGGGCGATAAAATTTAAATTTGCAACAAGAAATTCTGAAATATTTTGTGTTTTTATTATGACACGTCTTCCTTATCAGATTTCAGTGGACATCAAGGCTTGGAAACGAAAGCACCCTAACCTTCACTGTAAAAAGCGAACGATATGGTTGCCGGATTGTTGTCAGTGTTGAAATGTGTTCTGTCCGATACGTAAACCCAACGGATTTACCTTATGTAGAGATATGGAATTGCTATAGAATAGCAAGATATATCCTGTGATCCCGCCAACTGTGTGAAAATTCTAAACATGCATGTTCTCCCGAGTCCCGACCGTGAAAAGCCCATCGAGACTGTGATGATATATACCGTCAGTGGCATCGCTGAGACTCTATTGTCAAGAATTATGACGATGTATAAGCTCTCTGTTATCATTTAAACGCATGGTAAAATCATCTGATGCAGGCAAAAGCATAGACTCCTCCGTTGCTTGCGGAACAATTTGAATATTTAAATTATACACAAGGCAAAATATAGTGTGGTATAATATGCGTATATACAATTATTTCATATTTATTATTTCATATTTATTTCATATTTAGACCGGACACATTATAAATATTATAAGGAGCTTTCATTGCCAGTAGCTTTGTAGCTTGATCTATCCTCAATTTTATTTTGTCATGTAATAGCGTGAGATTAAGCTTGTATTTTTCAGTAATCAATCGCCTTTACATTTAGCATCCAACTATGCCGCACCAGAGACAAACAACCTATCAATATATCAATAGTAACTTTAAAATGCTTATAAAATCTCATTAAGTATAAAAGTAATGTTATGTCTGTGCGAGACTTTGTGCGTATATAGGGTTTATGTGATTATGTATAGCTATATCCCTGACAAAATGTAACTCACTTTATACCATGCACGTATAATTGAAAAATACTTTGCTAAACCGGCTTTAATCTGTTATTATTAACGTGGCAAGTATAAAAGGCGAGGTAAATGGCTATTATGGCTATAGAATTATATAGAAAATACTGTGCAATATTTTGTCTTCGAATCGATCACAGAATCAAATGTTCAACAACGTACCACTTTTTGTACCTTCCTACAGTACCCAGTGCAATTTAATTAATACAAACGATCAATCAGTTTTTGATAAAATCAGTAGCATATAAACCGACTATAAACAGTTTTAGAATGAATAAAATGGACATTCAATGTCCATTTGAGTATTTGGCTAGTGTCCAAATGCCCTGTGCCGAAAGACCTCAAAAGCGCTACGAACCTACGACCTAGGGTAATCTGGGGCAAAATGAGACACCTAAGGACATTTATTGTTGTAGAATGGAAGGCATAGCAATTTGAATTTTCTTTTTGACTTGGGTATGTGAGGTTGACACACAGCAAGATATGTAAAGCAAAACAATGTTTGAAATAATCTATTTGCCATAAATCGGAGAAAACCTATAGCAATGGTAATTGTCTCATTTTGCCCCGGCACAGTGGGGCAGAATGAGACAGTGCTAAAAAAATAAAATAGAGTCAGTATAAGTCACAGGTTGCACTGGCTGCGGTAACAGTACAGCGTTCTTCGTGACACCATTGTTTGCATTTTTTTATGTCTGAGTGCAGATTTCTTTGGCTTTGTTTTGTTTGTTTCCACCAGACTTAATCTTCCTTTTCTTTTGTGCCGAATTAGCTCTCTTTTGAACAATTTCTTTTTCAAATGACTGTTTGTATGGGGAGCTTGTCAAATGCTGAGATTCTTCAGATCGCTTTGACTTTGGTTTTGCAAGAAGTACTGGCACCTTCGGATGTCCATAAAAGTGACGGACTGCTTGTCAGAATTGTGACTGTCAGAGCTCGAGGGAATTGACTCACCCGAGGTGACTGACATCCCTATAGGAACTGACTTGACTGGGGTAGAGGTGACCAAAGGAACTGACTCAACCGCTGTAGAGGGAACCAACTCGACTGGGGTAGAGGGAAGCAACTCGACTGAGTTAGAGGGAACCACCTCGACTGGGTTAGAGGGAACCACCTCAAGAGGGAACCACCTAGACTGGGGCAGAGGGAACCACCTCGACCGTGGATGCCAGAGCAGTTGTGTGAGGATCATCGAGAAAATCGGTAGATGGTAAGATGTCTGAACGGTACAATACCAGAGCATCTAAATCCTAAGACTGCATTTTCCATGGTGGCAGCCTTCAGGTACGCAGTGTTGAACAGTTTATCTAATTGGTCAACTGTTATTCTGCGACCTGGGTGACTTTTCAACCAGCTTGAGCACGCAGTATTGAATGCAGACTTCAATGGCTAAAAAAGCTTCGATCTAATGGCTGAAGCTTGTGCGACGTATGTGGTGGCAATGAAACTATTTCAATACCATTCTCACAGGCGAATTCAATGGTGAACAGGCTTTTTGTATGACTCTTACGACCATCCAAAATCAGGAAGACAGGCGAAGCTATCGCGAGCACTTCTCATGGGCTGCAAAATGTTTCAGATTGAACTAAAAACAAATCTGTATCGATCCAGCTACTATCTGAACAACTGCCGATTGTCCCTGCTGGTGCATGTGATGGTCAACAAGTCCTGGCTTATTACTCTTCCGCTTAAAAATCATCATTGGTGGGACATACACTCCAGACGCACTGCATGCATGCAACAACAATACAACAACAACAATAACAACAACAACAACAACAACAACAACAACAACAACAACAACAACAACAACAACAACAATAGTACGTAGTCATCTGACCACGTTCACCACTAGTTGTTGACGAAACTGTTCGTTTGCCTTTTGGTGCAAGCACTTTAACAGGTTCAGTGTAGACGCATGTCAAACCACTTTCACTGATCGCAGTTGAAAATTTCATGAGGTCTAAAGTTACGCTTATCATGCAACCACTATTAACTGTTTTTAAATTTCCAATGTATTTATTTACAGAAACTCTGTTCAGACCAAAAAACATGATTCATTGAAAACGATTCTGGCTTTCGAAGAGATTACTTAGGATGACGCTTGAGAAAACCATTCACAAAGTCACGACCAGCCATTTTATTGTCCGAGTTAAAGAATAAAGTTATTGCTAATATTATTTTTTTCACAATATTCATACACTAGAGCTCGGATATCATCGATATATAGACCATAGAATACTTGATCCATCATAATAATGTGATTTTCCAACGCTTTCTCTTGATCATGCGTAAGAACAGCTCGATAACGTCCTAAAGCGTTTTTATGCCTTTCTTCTACTGATAAATTGGTTAGCCTACCATTGACTTGGCGATTTGATGCATCCTTTGGTACTCCGTTTGGTACTCCGTAGTTCTTTAATTCTGCTCAACTGCAGAGATGGCATTTGATCCTCATTCCAGTTAGCACATTGAGTTTTGCGTACATAGTTCCTAACCATCCTAAATAAAATAAAAGTTAGTTTGATTTGTGACATGGACTAAGCTGTTTATAGAATAAAATATATGACATATGAACTTATGATAAATTATAATAGAATGAAAGTACATATTGATCCAATCATAAATATAAACCCTTTTAATTAAGAGGACTTCAATATCACACAGATAGTACTGGTAATAATCCAAGATAGTATTTTATAATATAGCATTTGTAAATTCTGAACGCTGATTGGCTAAGAGCCGTGTTGATGTTGTCCATGTCAACACGGGAAATTTTCCGCCGCTTGTAAACACGGAAATTTTTCTTATTCTTCGGGCTTTTGACATTGCTATATTATAAAACAAATATAAAACATTTTTTCCGTATTGATATATAGTTATATCAACACTCGTGGAAGTTGGGAAAACTCGAAATTGTATGAAAACACTCCGCCCTTCGGGCGTCGTGTTTCCACACAATTTCTCGTTTTCCCAATTTCCACTCGTGTTGATATAACTGTATATCAACACGGAAAATGTTTTATATTTGTTAAATCACATATGACAATAAGACAAAGCACAGTAAAAGGTGAAATGAACAACATCACACTGACCAAATATATCATCACTTGGTTTAGACTCAGCTGTCTCGTTTTACCCCAATGGTATGAGTTCAAGTGAACAAACCGAAAATCAAAGTTTAGATAAAAATGGACAAAAGTTCGGAAATGCATCTCAAAGCTATTTTTGATTATACAGGGTGTATAAAAAAAACTGAACAGATTTGAAATTGCTCTTAATTTCGCAGAACAGCTATTAGTATCCAGATTTTGATGTATATAGCTTCTTTGGGTACTTATAATGTAAAATAATAAAACAACATTCTCGAACTCAAATTTTGTGAACCGAGGGGGGGGGGGTGTCTTTTCCAACACATTAAAAATGGCTTGCGCACGAAATTTAAACGCTTTAATCATATTTTAAGTTAATAGATGGAAAATTTGTTGGATATTTAATTACTGTACAAAATTTCAGACAATTTGCTTTAGTTTAAGCCCTTTAACTATTCACGCAAACTTACATTTTTTCTTAAAAAATCAGCTATTTACATGCTAGTTAATGCCTTTGCCTAATTTACATATGTCAGCAATCGGCAAATTAGGTAAAGGCATTAATTATAAGCATGCGAGATGCTAATTTTTTAGAGAAACTATCAATTCAAAATATGATTAAAGCTTTTAAATTTCGCGCGCAAGCCATTTTTAGTTTGTTGAAAAAGACACCCCCCCCCCCCTGGTTTACAAAATTTGAGTTCGAGAAATTTTTTTTATTACTCTACATTATAAGTATCCAAAGAAACTATATATATGAAAAACTGGATACTAGTAGCTGTTTTGCGAAATTGAGAGCAATTTCAAATCTGTTCAGTTTTTTTTATACATCCTATAGAGCAATTTCTGATTATTTACATTTTTGGAAACTTAATCTTGAAACTATAGTCCGTAACGGAACGCCGTAAATGTTTAGTAAAAAGTTTAAAAATGAACTTTGGAACTTCATGGTTGACACGCATGCGTATTGCACCCATTTTATTATTCACCGGTCAATAAATGTTTGATTGCGGACCGGTTGCCGAACATGATGTTTTGTGGACCAGCACGTGACACGGTTTTGACCAATCGGCAAACAGAAAAATTGAACTTCGACACAAACTATATAACAATATTAATTATGCTATTACCTCATACGCGCCCGCATTTCTTACCTGTTGAGGATTCTATAGTACTTTATATAGATAATTTTTTTGCTCTTTCTCCGATCTCTATTCATATCGACATGCTTGCGAAGAATTTATGCAAATGTAAGTTTATTATTTTGATTATTTTACACTTGTTATACTGACAGTAATTGAGATATTATTAAGTTCCGCAGTTCCGTGGTCTGCAGTTCCGTTAATTGGTCATACCCTATAATATTAACAAAGGCCCTGTTTACACTGTAGCGGATTCGCTGGTCACGACATCAGTCTTAACAGTCAATGGAATAGCCTAAACATTTATAATGGTAGTAATAAGCAGAAACATACTAACGTTATCGAAAGAGTAAACCTTTGTTGTTAAACGTTGCTCCTGGGCAGCAAACGAAGATGTCGTGACCAGTGGCAGTGCATCCGGTACAGTGTAAACGGGTTGAACTAGCAGCTAAACACACAGTACATTTTAAGTTAATTCATGATCAGATGTTAAATATAGTTTATCGCCATTATAGATGTTAAAATTTATTTTGACTCGAAATAGCGTTTCAACAATTCAACCTGATTTGGGCAGCAAAATACCGACGTATCGGTATACCATGCATTCAGTATATATGAGCATCATAATATGCACGCATGAGCTAGCGCTTTCGCATACAAAATTTTCCTTTTTTCATCGGCAGTGCAAACCAGTCTTATATGTGACGATTAGTGATCCTTTGCCGGTTCTAAATTTCCGGCAGAATATATTGTGTTATCAATTTTTACCTTCCTGGCTTTCAGACGAATGTTTTAAACTTGCAGGTAGAGAAGCTAGATTGCTGGTGATGAAAATTAAGATATGAAGTATTTTCTTGGACTTTTGTTAGCATTTTTTGTTTTGGTAAGCTATTTGCAGTTCTACATGTTGCGGAATATTATGTAAAGAGTGAACTTCTTTAGCTTGTTCACCCTTTTGCATTGAATTATTTAGGTTGCGGAATATTATGTAAACTGAATGAACTTCTTTAGCTTGTTCGCCCTTTTGCATTGAATTATTTAGGTTGCGGAATATTATGTAAACTGAGTGAACTTCTTTAGCTTGTTCGCCCTTTTGCATTGAATTATTTAGGTTTGGTTTAGAGGTACAGTTTTCAACTACAGAATCTAAAGGCCCAGACACATGTACGGCCGAAAGCGATTCTATACAACGCGGCGCGTTTTTTTTTCGATATATTTTCACTGACATTTTGAGTTAGGCCTACTTGGATTATACACATACATAAATTTTGAATTACTTGGACTGCATAAGTTTTATTATTGACTTAATTGTTTACGGCAAAGATTGAAAATGTACTCCTTCAAAGGAGCTTTGCTCAAAAGCTAGCAATGTTAACTTGAAACAGACTGAAGTGACCACATGTTATACGACTTCTAATAAAATTAACATTCATGAATTTTAGAACCCAATGGGATATATCGTCAATACAATTTCCCACCCAGTAATCCGAATTTAGCAAGTTTACGTGCGTTATACATACAGTAGATTTTGGAATATTGCAAGAGTTTATCGTTAAAATTTTTACACTGTCAAAGCCAGAAAATACAGGCTTTTAACTGAGTGTCCAAATGTACCTGTTTTGTATCATTATGAAGGAAAGTGGCCAAATACGAATCGAATAAAAACTGCCAGTTAAAATTATATTTTTCCATTATCGGGAAAAATTTTATACATCCTGTATAATCATGCATAAATTGCTGTCCTGTGAATAAACTTAAGCAATCGCCCAAAAATGGTAAAAAGTATAGTTTGCTGCCAATTCACACTTTTACATCAATTCTCGGCTGTGTGGATTAATATGCGCTTGTCGGTTAATTTAAATATATATATATATATATATATATATATATATATATATATATATATATATATATATATATATATATATATATATATATCTCTCTCTCTT